ATTGTTTAAAAAATATTTAAAAAAAAAAGAGAAAAACTATATGAACTGCATAACTAATCGAAAAATTCATCATCGTTATTATCATTTCTATTACGATTTGCTTTTGGAGTTGTTGCTGTTGAACTTGGTGATTGATTAGTTTTTTTTGTTATTGATGATGATGTTGATTCATCGTCATCATCAAAAACAGAACCATTTGCTAATTTCTTTAACCATAAAGATGATGATGATGCTGTATTGGTTTGAATAATCTGTTGTACAGGTTTTTGTTTTTGTTTTCTATCAAATGATGTTTCATCATCTGAACTTGATGATTGTGTACCCATATATTTTTCAATAACATGTTTTAATAGACTTTTAGCTTTATCATGAGCATATATAGCATTTGTAGGTAATAATGCTATAGCAAATTTATTAGTTAATATTTGTGAATTCATAATATGTAACTTTAATAATTGTGAAAAATGCTCAATTAATCTTAACCACAATGAACGATCTTCTGCTGGTAACATTTGTGAAATAATATCTTTATCTAAATCTTTTATATTTGATGAAAGTATATCATCGGTTAATAAACAATTATTTTTTGTTGTACGACGTATTGTTGATGGTAATTGATCAAGTATAACCATTGATGTTGTTGCTGGATCAAGATCTTTTAATGAAGATTTTTGTTTATCATTACCTATATCAATTATAGTTCGTTTTTGTGTTATTGTTGGTGGATCAAGACGATAAAATTTGTTTTTATCTATTGTATCTTTTAATTCATTTTCAATATAATCAAGTAAAAAATAAAGACCATTAGGAGTTAATTCCATTCGAAGTGAACCATTATTTTTTACACGTGAAAATGGATTTACTATTGCATTTAATTCTGTTATTGATTGTTCATCTTGTTGTTGTTGTTGTTGTTGTTGATCTTTTATTTCATTATTTATAATTGGTGTTGATGGAGATGTTGTACGTTCTAAACCAACTTTAAGTTGATCTTCATAACGCTTAAATAACATTGAGGATTCAACATCATAAGATTGACGAACTATAGGCACTAAAAACAAAATAAGATAAAGATTTGTTTTTCGTATAGAAATAATTATATCTTCTTATTTACTACTTTGTCGAAGATTTCCATCACTTTCTAATTGATCGTGTTGTTTTATATGTTGACCTAAATGATCATATTCATTACTACTATTAATATTTGTACTTGTTCTAGTTAATGTCGGTTTTTGCCAATTTGGATAATGTAATTCTAAATAATTTAAATAATCATTTTTTAAACGTATTAAATTTTCAGCATCACTATGTAATTTATCTAAATGTTGTTGAGCTTGTGTTAAATTATTAAGTAATTGTAAATTACGTTGTTCAGCTCGTTGAGATTCTTGATTAAGACGTGTAAAATAAGTTTTTATATGTTGAATTTGTTTGTTTTTATATGAATGTGAATTATTATTTGACATTAAACGTAATTTTTGTTCAAGTTGCATACGTTGTTCTTCATTTTTTAAAATTTTTGAACGTAAATTAGTACTTCGTTGTTGATAATCAAAGAATAATGGCGCCATCGATTGTGATGATGATGGGTTCATCTTGCTGTTTGTCCTCTAGCAATGACAAACACGCCAGAATGAAAAAGAAAGAAGTTCACATATATGCAATACCCTCAGATAAAAGTAAAAAAAGTTCTCACATTCTTACCTTTTCTTTCTTGTTTTTTTTTTGTTCTCTTTTCTGTAAGATTGTCATGAGCAACCGTTGTGCTGCTACGTCATTCACACGGTTTTAATCTGATAGAGAAAAAGAAAAAAAACGAGAGAAGGTCACCAATTGAAGAAAAGAATTTATATACATATATATAAATCAAGATTTCCAGTTAGAATGAATTATTGGACAAATAGACGTGTGAAACAAAAACGAAAATGAATAAGTGATTCTTCTATGAACATCTACGTAAGTTTCATTGGTTAATCAAATAGACCTAAGGCGCGTGGTGTTGTTATTCTTTTAATTTGTGCAAAGTAACTAAAGGAGAATTAAACATATTTCAAATTTTTTTCTCTTGTGTTTTCATTCTTCATTAGCAACTATCTATAAAAGACATCTATCAAAAAAAAACCCGACAAATGAGTTTAGTAAAAAATAAAAAACAAGAAAATTAAACAATTCAGCATAGGTCTTATTATCATTCGAGAAAAAAAAATATATATATAACTTATAGTTCATTATTTTACATGTAAGATTCTTTCATCTAACTTCGTATAATACAATATACAGTAGTCGTAAAAAAGGTCACTATCGGATAAAAACTACATAAGCTTTAGTCCTTTTGTCTAATATTTTGACTACAATTAGAGCTCGGTAAATCCTGATCGCAAGCAGCAACCCAAATTCGATAGTCATTAATGTAAAGAGTTCGACCACTGTATTAATTATTCTAATATATAACTGCTAATGGTTTTTGTTCGATTTTATCAAATTTTATTGAAATTTATCGGTTTCAAAGATTAAAATCTCAATTTTATTTCATAACTGAAAAAGAAATATAAGCTTCAGTATTTTCAATGGGTGTTCAGTCTAATTCAATACCTTATCAGCAGAAGTTTGTTCTAACATATATTTCCTAAATGTGGTTGTAGTATGTTAACTGAGAAAAATTTTTTAGCTCGACCTATTAATTGTTTAGATTTTAACTGTCTTAATAAAAAACAAAAGCAAATCGATTCAATGTGTTCTTGCTGATAAATAGAGTTCTATATGTTTCTTCAATAAACGCAGACAAAAACTCAAGTAGTTCAGTAGTTAGTTAACGTACAAAGCACCTTATAAGAATAGCTCTATATTCGAAGTCCATATTTCGTGATGAAGTATCATTTGAGACGTTGCCATCTCTATATGATACAAATTTGATCTGACTTTCGGTACGATGTATCGTTCACCCAAAGTAAAATCCAGATATTATAAATAATCGTTTTCATTATGCGGATGTAATGAAGCGCAACTAGACGCTGATCTTAACAATGATTAATTATCACTAGCACTAATGATAATTCATCAATGCACAATTGCTGACATCTTTTTTCTTAATTAACAGAACTCTATAGGATACTAGTAGTACTATTGTTTGTTATGATTATTCAAGAAGAAAATGAGAGTGGAACATATGGAAGTTCTTTGTTGATCAAATATTTGTAGAGAAAACTGAACAAAACTTTGTAAACTATAGATGACAGTGAATATTTGATGTTAATTTAAGCGAATACAACAGACAAAATTTATCTACAGAGAGGACGCGTAATATGTATATGTATCATATTTACACAAAATGTTTGGTGAAACATGACATAGTTTTCCAGTGATTTCATAATGTGAACAAATTGAATTAAAGAGTGTGTTTTTCCATAATAATCAGAACAAGATTCGATGTAAATTTCACAACAACTTCCAGTAAATTTTTATTAATTCTATTGCGACTAACTGGAGAACTATTTGAACTGATATCTACTGTTTCAGCTCATACTGGGCTTACAAGGATGTCTCGGTAAGACTAGAAAAATAGTAAAAACAAGTTCATGCCCATGAATCTATGAAACTAAATTATGATCGTTCTACTGAATTTTCGATCCGGCTTCAGGTATTAACCAAAAAATCAAATAAAGGAATTTCAACCTGAAATTTCGCCCATACATAGATATAAGGATTCTGGAAATATCCTGAAAGTTTTAACCGAAAGCAATATTCCTTTGTCGAGATTTTGAATTTTCAAATTCATTTTTTATACCATAAAAAATGAATTTGAAAATTCAAAATCTCGACAAAGGAATATTGCTTTCGGTTAAAACTTTCAGGATATTTCCATATTCGAATATTCAGTTAAACGATCATAACTCAGTTCCACAGACCCATGAACCCCAATTATTTGAAGCCTTTTCTAGTTTCATCAAAACATCTGCGTAAATCCAATATGAGCTCAAATAGCGGGTATCAGTACAGGTAGTTTCCTCGTAAAAGTTTTTGTTATCTGTGCAATGTCGAAAATCGAAATTCGAAATGCTTCGCATCGTTCTCACTCGTTGAGCTAAATGAAGCAATCATTTGAAGTGATGCCTCGCATTTGAGAAGAGGCTCCAGTCATTACGTAGGATCTGTTGAGACTAGAAGAAAACTAGAAGGATTTTTCCCCGTTCGTTATCCCTTTTTGAGTTATGCTCGTTACATCCTGACTTTTTTTCTTTACTTCGGTGTGGTATTTATTAAAAAAGGATCAAACAAATGTATCTTCATCTAAAACATGACCCATAGACAGCTCTTGAAATCATTAGAATCTCCTAAAAATTTCAACAAAAACAAGTAGTCTCTTCTCGAGATATTACATCTACAAAAAAAAACCAGTGATATTCCACTAAAAGAATAAGAAATATATTTTTTTGTGAATTTGATCTCTCGAGAAGAGATCACTCGTTTTTGTTGAAATTTTTAAGAGATTCTAATGAGTTCAAGAGCTGTCTATGGGCCATGTTTTAGATGAAAATACATTTGTTTGATCCTTTTTAATAAATACCGCATCGCAATAAAGAAAACAAAGTCAGGATGTAATGAGCATAAATCAAAAAGGAACAACGCACGGGAAAAATTCTTCTGGTTTTCTTCTAGTCTCAACAGATCCCGCGTAATGACTACGGTCTCATCTCAAAAGCGCAGTATCATCTCTGGGGGTTCCTTCATCACCTCAGATACCATCTAGTTACATATGAAGAATAAATAAAATGATGCTGGACAAGAATTTTTTGATACAAATATTAAGAAAAAAAAAAGAAACGATCGATTATTAAGAAATTAGACATCTTACATGAATAACCACATCCATTTTTTTTTTATTTGATCAGTGCACAACGATTCCTTTTTCGTTTGTGTTGCTCGCTTATTCCATTACTTATTGTAGATGTCTTAAAAAAACAACATACGAAAATTCGACCAAGAAAATAAAAAAAAAATGGATGTGGTTATTCATGTAAGATGTCTAATTTCTTAATAATCGATCGTTTCTTTTTTTTTTCTTAANAACCGCTCCAGAAAGTACTGGAAGATCCTCAATTGGAACTACAGGTACCGAAAGGACAGCAACAGTTACCGAAGGTACTCAAAGAACATCGATCGGTAGTGTTGGCACGGAGGGAGCGACGACTGGTACTGGAAGCACAACAGGAAGAATCTTGACAGGAAGTGCAGGTACTGAAATGACAACAACTGGTGCAGCAAGCACTGAAAGATCCTCAATTGGGACTGTAGGTACCGAAGGAACAACAATTGGTACCGAAGGCACTGAAGGAACGTGGATGAGTACGGCTGGTATCGAGAGAACAACGAGTGGTACCGGTATTACGGCAGTCGGAAGTACAAGCACGGAAAGAACAACGCCTGGTACAGGAAGTACTGAAGGAATATCGACTGGAACTGTTGGCAAGGAGATAGCAACTATTGGTGTGGGTAACACGGAGCGAATAACCACAGCTGTGGGAATCTCGGGCAGCGCATCGATTGGAACAGGACCGACGTTTACAACAGCGTACGAAACTAGCAGTGTTGGTGCGTTCTCAATGAGTTCGGGCAGTACGATGGAATTACCAACGGGTTTCAGTTCAGCAGGAGCAAGTTCCTTCTCCAGCGGTAGTCCTCTTACAACTCTTTTCACGGCGCTAACTGGTAGCAGTAGTTCAGCTGGAGCTAGTAGTATTGGAACGATACCTCTCTCGACTGGTACATTTGGAACTTTATTAATGTCAACTGAGCGTGGTACTGTATCTGAGTTAACAGGTATTCGTTATTTTTTTCTGTCTCAGAGAAAGAGTGGAATCTCTAGTTTTAGTGTGACGCATTGTTAGTTCTTAGTTCGGATGTCATTGAATAAGGTTGTAGTGAAGTTTTGCTAAGATGTGGCAAATTAAAAAACAGAATAGTGTAGATTGTTAAGTGTTGCCTATGACGTGGGGTGAGCACTACTGTGGAGGGTTTGTCATAGGAACAATCTGAATTGTTACCCAACAGAACTATATGTCATTCGACGTTTTAAGTGATGTAAGTGGTTAGTTGAACTGATTGGCGGTGCAAGGTTTACACTGTTAAATTTGAATCCGCACTTCGAATGTCGTAAATAAAATATTTGGTAGTTTCGTTCCTAAATCAATAGGATTTTGTTTTATCTCTATGTGTGTGTTCTGTTCTTTTCAAAACTTTGAAAAATGTTCCAGGTATGAAAAAGTTTTAGTTGGTCAAGTAGGTACAAGGTTCTTTTCTGAAGTTAACAAATTATTACTGATGCTGGAGTAAACATATGAGGTACTTTGAAAGTGTCATGAATGATGAGAATAGTGAAAGAACTTTCAATATCGTTCAAAATCATATCATAAACCGAAAATCCTTCTGGAAACATTGTTGGCTAAAAAGAAAGATAAGATGTCGATGTTTGTTGTCGTTGCATGAATAAAATTAGTTTTTGAGAATAGTTTTTTTCTGGTGTTTTGTTTTGTACTTCTTGTCGATGTAAAAATGTTTCTGATCGATGTACTACTTGTAGCTATATTATGAAGCGGCATAGTGGGTATATTTTTATTTTATTTAACAAATGAAGAATAAGCACGTTACTAGTTGAGTAGTAGAAGTACTCGATTGGGTTATTGATGTAGTTTCGATATTGGCTTTCAGTATGACTGTTCTCAGTTAATTCAATTATGACTTTACAGTGTTCTTTTCTCTTATATGGCTGTGACTGTGCTTCCGAAAACATTTCATTTAACTAATTGGATCTCAATCTCTTTGAAGTTAGATTGGAGTTCTAGGTTTTTCTAATCCTATGCAGGACTCTAATATCGACATAGCTTGTTTGACCCAAACAAGTATTTCTTTTTACTAGTTCTACTATGATTTAAAAAAATATCTTACAATGTAACTAGATAAAAATTGCCCAATGGCATATTTTTTTTTAAATTGAACTTTTTTCAGGAACTACTGGGCGAAATATAACAACGACAACCACTCCATGTTATTCAGCAGATATTATGTATCATGATGATATTGTTTTATCAATTAAACAAATTGAACGAAATCTTGCTATGCCCGTACTTTCGCTACGTACTGATACAACTGGTGTAGCATTCCCAGATACTCAGCAACCAACACTTTTGGTTGAGCTAAATCATACACTTGTTTCACAGATTATCTCGATCTCAGTACCAAATAATCGTGATACAACAAATGTCAATCAAATTGAATTAACATTCTATGGTACAGATGGTCAGATTCTTCGAAACTCAATGGGTGCGGAATGGATTGTTGAAACAACTCCTGGTGTTACAACAGTATGATTTATATTTCATTTTTTATTAAAAAACAAAATTATTTTATTTTTTGTAGTTAGAACAACTCGTGCCCAAAGTACCTGTTGGAGCATTTGAGATTAAATTAATCAATACAACTGATGGAAAAACGCCTAGAGGTGTTACCCTTGAAGTAATTGGGTGTATTCAAGAACGTAAGAAACTTGATAAGCAAAAGTTTAGTATGTAGCACATATTATTTGTTTTTATCTAGATTATACTATATCAAGTGTTCAAACAACTAGTAGTAGTTTGTTCACTACAGCAGGCAGTAGCATTAGTAGTACTATTGTATCAACACCAACTTCTACTCGTGCTGGGGTTTGTGTGAAAGTTCAAGCAATGAATCCTCGTATAGGTGTTATTGATGACATTGTTATTTATCCACCATCATTGAGTGCCAATGCAAACGATCTTGTACCTGGTCGAAATGGTCTTAATTTTCCGGAAACAGAATCTCGTCCAAATATAACTATATTATTTAATCGTGTTGGAACTGTATCTTTTGTTCAAATTCCACCTGAAAGTCAATCAAATGTACAACAAATATTTGTGGAATTTTTTAATCCATTAGGAGAATTAATTACCTCATCTACATCACCAACTAATTTACCACAACTTGCTAATGATTTAGAAGTTAATGATGTCTTAAAAGTTGTTATTCATCTCATCACAACATCAGATGGAACGAGTCCGAAAAGTGTTACTATCGATGTTATTGGATGCTTTTTTGAAGGTAATAGAAATTTTTGTCGACAAAAATCTGATAAACCGATTGTTCCTTTTATATCAATTAAATATCTAATTTTATGAGAAATTTTATCAATATACTGCCTACTCATCACTCACCTATCTAACTGTTTTACAGTGCGAGCAAGAGTAAAGCCTTTTGATGTGATGCAAAGTGCAGGATTTAACAAATCATGCAAAAGTTCCTGGAATAGCATTGCTTTATTTTTCAACGGTTAAAGCGTTATTTCGAAAAATCAACAACACCTATTCAGAATCTACAATGAAAGCTTCTTTTTTGACAATGTGTTCAGAAAAAATCTATTGCATGATGTTGTTGAGTATTGAAAGAATTCTTGAATAACACTATAATGAGCTCTGAAAAAGTTTTTTTTGCGACTTAATTGTATTCATCCCATTGAATATTATTAATATTTTCTCTATCTAATTCTTCATTCAATTGTTGATAAATCTTGCAGAAAATATGATGGTATTGTCGCAGATAACATTGGAAAAAAATAGCCACAGTGCTCTATCTAGTTTTCAGATCGATGTTCGTATTTGTTCTTTCTTCAAACCAGCTATATCAGTGCTTTGCTATGTTTATATCGAGAGTATCTCAGATTTTATGCAGTCATCATTTCATACATTTTTATAAAACGACACTATTACATTTCCACAAAACTAGTGATTCTATGTTTTGCTTTTCTTCAAGATTCAAAATAATTCAAACGATGATGGCATAAAGAGTTTGTCGATATTTTTTTTTTAAATTACTGAAGTTATACATCACATACGTTATGGCAGATAATGAATCAGAAAGATAATTAAACGATCAATCGGCAACATTTCTGCAGATACATTTTGATATACGTAGCTAAAGTTCTCATACTGACGAATTTAGATATACCTGATGTTGAGTTTCCTTTTGGTGTCGATGACTTGATTGATCAACATGTCATTTTTCTGGCTAAAACGACAGAAAAAAAACTGATTTCAGTAAGCTGTAAATATCTGTCCGAAACGTAGAAACGATATTTTCGTTTTTTAAGAATTATTGATTCCTCGCTAATCACCATTTATATCACGTTTACATCAAATTTTTCATACGAGTTCGACTCGCGTGCCATCTAGTTCTTTTAAATATCTCCACCGTTCAGAATGACAAAAGATGTGTGTTGAAATTCTAATACAAAGTACTAAGGATTCCTATACAGTATAGTTTTTTTCATACGACGTTCACAAATTAAAATATAACGGATAATAGGTTCAATATCCAGCACATCAAAGAAAAGAAGCATGCAGTGCCTTTCAGTTATGTTACCGACGTAGAGAATGTACTGATACTCAAAGTTCAGTCTCGATATCCGCCTTGATACTACCAAAGACAGTTTCATTCACTAGGTCGCTTGAAATTTTCAGAGTAATTATTTGACTACATGCTAACTATGCGTACAAATTCTCTAAATAAAATTAGCATATAACCTATTAAGAGCTTTGTTCGTGCAAAGTTTGAAATCGAAATTTGAAAGTCGATTTTCCACGTAACGTCAAGGATAGGACAGCTTCTTGTTGAAAAAAAACAGTAAAATTTCGGTATCTCAAAAATAAAGGCTCGGAAAACGAAACCATTCTAAACTTTTCTATTATTCTCTAGCACTTACCAAATGAACATTGTCTCGGCTGAAAAACAATTTGACAGCTAGGGAGGTTCTTTTGTCAGTTTTACACATTATACAGATGTATATAACTTCCTTGACGAAAATATACCATCTTATTTCAATAATTATATGTAAACTTTTTTGTAAAATTGAATTTTTCTCCTTGTAGTTACTCCATTATCAACAACGATCATATCTACCTATACAACAAGCCAAAAATGTTTAATAACTGATGGTATGACTGATGCAAACATACTTCCGAATGAAAATATTGTCAATAGTAACGATGTATCCATTGGTGATCGAGTACGTTTAACTGAAACAAGCCCAGGTTACACGCCAACATTGACAGATGATAACATCAAAATAAGACTAACAACTGATAAATCTCCAATAGCTATTGGTGAAATAATAATAACAGCACAAAATTTTCTATCAGCTGCATTATTAATAAAAACAACAGATGAAAATCTATGGAAACCATATGCAACATTAACAAGTGATAGAACAACATTTGATAATTTATATGCTACTGAATTACAATTTCAATTTACACCTGATACAAGATCTATTAAGTTAGGTGTTATTGGATGCTTCCCACCAACAGGTAAGAAAAAGAAAAGATCTTTTGAATTAAGAAATAATCTAACTAATTGTTCTTAGTTACAACAATTTCAACATCAACTACAACACCATATACAAAACTTTCGTCGACTAGTACAACTTCAGCTTGTATTCTTAGTGAATGGGGACCTTGGTCAAAATGTTCACCTGAATGTCGTCTTGATCGTTATCAGTATCGATCACGTTCAGTCTTAAATGGTACATGTTGGGATCCATTGGATGAATCACGTTCATGTGATCATACACCTTGTCAACAATGCACAATGACACGTGAAAATTATATTAAAGAATTAGAACGTACACCACCAAGTGATGGTAAGTTTAATTTTTTTCTTTAATTAAATTAGAAAGAAAAAACATGAATTTGTTTGCTTTTGTTAAAGATTTTGTTGGATATTTAATTGATTCAACAACAGCTGTTCAAACAAACACAGCAGTTTATATTGGTGATAGACTTGATCGTAATACATCTATATTTGTTGATAATTGTACGCAGGTTATTTGTAAATCAAATGGATTGACAAAACAAAAAATTCCCTGTCTAAGTAAATATGGCTTTTTTTTAAATTCTAGTCAACAAAACACAAACAAAATTAATTTTTCTATTTTCAATTATAGATGATTGTAAATATACTCTACTGTGCAAATGGAGTAAATGTGATGCTTTATGTGGTCAAACTGGTAATCGAACACGTAAACAAAGTTTAATTATAGAAGATTCATCAAAACTAAATCCATTATGTTCAAGAGAAATAATTGAAACATTGCCATGTATGGGTGATCCATGTCCATGTACACAAGGTGTTAATTGTACATGTGATCTAACTGAATGGAGTGAATGGTCAGCATGTTCTTTACCATGTGGTGGTGGTCAACGAGAACGTACACGTCAATATCAAACAGACTCAAATGACAATTGTACACCAAATAATTTACGTGAAATACAACCATGTAATGTCGAATGCTGTCCAATTGATGGAAAATATATACCTTGGTCTGAATGGACACCATGTACGGTAGAATGTGGCTCAGGAGTACGAAAACGATATCGAACATGTACGGATCCATTACCATCATGTAAAGGTAAACCATGTGAAGGAAATTCAATAGATACAGAAGTTTGCAATACACAACCGTGTCGTAAGTAAACTCATTTTATACATATTTTCAAGATTATACAAAATTAATTTTTCTAGAAGAAACATGTACAAATGATCAAATATATAGCGAATGTGCTAATGAATGTGATACATCATGCGAATCATTAACATGTGATGATCAATGTCAAAAACCAGATAAATGTGTACCAGGTTGTATCTGTCCTGACAATAAAGTCATTGGACCCGATGGCCGATGTATTTATCGTAAAGAATGTCCATGTCGATTACCAACTGATAATACAACTTTAGTTAACGGTGAAAGTAATATTCGAGATCCTTGTAAAACATATACATGTAAAGATGGTTGTATTGTAAGCAAGGATAATAAGTGTACAAAATGTGACTGGTCACCATGGACACCATTTTCTGATTGTTCGAATACATGTAATGGTACACAAAGTCGATTTCGTACATATGATGGGCCTAATTGTCCAGAGAAACGTACTGAAGAAGAAAAACAACCATGTTCTTCAAATTGTACAATCGTATGTTATGTAACAAATACCGATGGTTCTATCGTTACATATAATGTTGGTGATCTTATTGAAGAAACAAGTTGTAGTCGAACGTAAATATTCTTTTTTTCTTTTGCAAAAAAGAGAAATTCATTAAGAATCATTTTATTTTTAGAATTTGTCGTGAAACAGGTTCCGTTGAAACTCAACCAATTGATGGAACACGTGTTGATGGTCAATGGAATTTATGGTCACCATGGAGTGAATGTAGTCAAACATGTAATGGTACACGCACGCGTTATCGGTTATGTACATCACCAGCACCAGAATGTAATGGAGAAGTTTGTAAGAAATTACCTCATACACAAACTGATATTGTTAAAGTTGAAAATAATCCAGCCGTTCTTGAAGAAATTGAACGTGATAAATGTAATCAACTTTGTAAGTTAAAATTTAAAATAAGTTCTATAAATTTATTTATTTTTATTTTATTTTACTAGGCTTTAGTACTACAACGCCTGTTTCTACAACTGTTACAACTCCTCATGAAGAATGTTTCATGTCAAATGGTACAAATATTATTACTTTACCAGTAAGTTTATCAATAGATATAACTATAAATATAATTTATGTATTATTTAGCCTCAACAAATTGTGCCTAATCCAACAAATCCATGTGAAATATGTGCATGTAAACATGGTGTAGTATCATGTTCAACAATTTGCTCTGAAAATGAACAAACATGTTTATCTAAACAATCTCAAGATAAGGATAATATTTATACATGGATACCACCTCAACCTGGACAATGTTGTGGTACATGTAACAAGACAAAAGGTATAGAAATTGAACCATATCTTTCTCTTGAATTCCGTTTGTTTTTCTTTTCTTTGTTATAGTTGAAAGTAAATGCCGCGTAGAAGTATTAAAAGATGAGTATATTCGTGCTGATGGATGCGTATCCATTATACCTGTTGGTCGTGAACAATGTACTGGTGGTTGTGATTCTCAAGCTAGTAATGTTTTAACAATGGCGAATAAGTCTTATCAAATGGGCAATTCAACATGTCAATGCTGCGCACCAAAAGAGACTTATACGCAAACAATTTCAATGGATTGTAAAGCAATAGATAATCAAGGATACGTTGTATCAGCTACATATACACGTATTCGATCCTGCGAATGCCAAGCTTGTGTTGGTAAAAGTTAAATTTTCCATTTATTGTATTTTAATCTTATTTATGCAATAAAAGAAAGAAGAGCAGCAGCATGTGTTTCTTTTTTTCTTGATCATAATACAATTTGCATCACTAGATCAAAGTGATTAGAGAAAAAGACAATAAACTGTTCAATAGTCAGTTATTGAGATAAGAATAAACGAAAAAGAAACACGAGAAATTTCCATGTCGGAGTTGACTTTAAAATTTAGAAAAATAAAATTGCTATAGAGTAACCGATAATAAAGGATTTTCAACTGATGGAATATTTTCTATGTGGATTTAAGAAAGAATTTCTTAATAATTTTCATTGCATTTATTAATGAAGAAAACACCCTAGTCGAAGCTGGATGCATATCCAAGAGTGTAGAAGGAACATATAACACACTCTATCCCCATGTTTTAACAATCATGAGGGTCGAGAGGCCAGCGCCCCTCCAAGGATCGGATTGACTCTCCTGGAATTTTAAGTCGCCCTTTTGAAAGAGAAAGTTTCCATAAAACACTGTCCTACCAACACCACACACTCTGTTGACTATTGTTATGCTTTTCTTCAATGTTTATTCTCTTCTCTCAACTTTATCTGTTTAATAAATATGATATTTACCCTATACATAGATATTTACTACCTTACATTTTAAAGTCAACTCCGATGTATACATTCCAAACTTGAATTCATACTTAAAATAAAAAATGATCCTCATCATCATTTTCTTTTTTATCGCTGTATTCATACTAGCTTTATTCAAGAAAACGTTATTAGATATATTTCTTTTTGTATATATATATATATATTAATAATGCTGAAACAAGTAGTCAATCACTTGTTATATAATTACGGAATTAACTGAACTTAGAATAAGAGGACGATGCGATACAAAAAAAATTCCATTAAATATTCTAATTTATAGATATTTTGAACAATTGAATCTTAATATTCTCGTGTAATTAATCTTAACTAGAAGCAATATAACGAAGACGCCAAAATTAAAGAGGGTTGGATGTAAGCTCAATAACTCGACAACAGCAGTAGTTATCGACTTAGGATTTTCAGAAACCTAAAGAGTATAACTCCAGACGTCTTTTTGTCAAATGTTATATCAGACAAAATTATTTTAAAACCTATCAACCTCTCAAAACATTCAATAAACTACATGAAACTCCGCTGAATAGATACGCGATTTCATTTGCTAAGCATTGAAATATGAGAAGTGAATCACCTGAAGCATCACTTGAACTATAGATCTGAAGTCTCTCTATCGAAAGCACATGTCAAAGTTAAAATACCATCGAAGCAGAAAACCATTTTCATGCAATTCTTAGAAATTTTTATGAAAATTATGGATTTGGAAATAATTTTGTCTTATATACCAAGAGACAAAAAGTTATCTGGAGTTCTCCTCTTTCGATTGCTGAAACCTCACTCAGGTCGTTAACTGTTGCCGTTGTCGAATCATTAATGTTACACCCACCCTTATTTAATTCAAAACAGACATTAATTTAAATTACGTGTTTTTGAAACATTCTAATTAATATTTGCAACTTAATAAGATACTTTAATCGTTAATACGTTTTCTAAATTCCCCTTTAATGAGTTACATAAAATTGGGACTAGTTTCCAAAATTCTAACCTTACAGTCTTAAAGACCTATGTCAACGTTATTTCTGAGCATTTCAAAATCTTAAAAATCTGTTCCCAATTCCTCAATATTATTCTAGTTTTCTGCAAGACCTTTTAAATATAAGAATTATGAAAATAAATTGGATACAATAGAGACCCAAGCTCTTCTATTATGGTATGTGGATGTCATTTTTATTTCGGAAATTCAGAGTGTTTGATTTATATTTCGAAAAATAAAGTTAATACAAAGTATAGAATTGTATACTAGAAGTAAATGAATAAGAATTCAAAGGGAAAACAATGCTAGTTGGTGCATTAGCACCTTCATAATGTTCCAAAGCTGTTTTTGAGATGTAAAATAATGATTTGAGTATTATCCAAATTGTTGATTTTACGCGGTCATCAATATGGAACAGAATCTAGACAGCTTATTCGCGAAAATATTTTTATAGATAGGAATAAATGTAAAAAAGGCATTACAAAAAATATATGATATAGTATTAATAGGTTTTCTCGAGCAGATGGGAAAATTGCCATATAATCTTCATAAACATATGTCGTTATTATCGCAATTGTTATTTCTTCTGGATTTTTTCACTTCACAATTGACTGTACAAATATACGAAATAACAAACGATACGATTGTTAAAATAATAAATAAAATATAAATAATTGGCATTGTTCCTAATGGGCTATCTCATTTTAAACAAATAATATTTATTTATCAACTACTTATTATACGAATTTGTAAAACATGCCATTAATGAAAAACTGCTTTTAACTGCAAGATATTAAAATTATGAAGAGCTGGTAAAATAAAAAAAGAAATGTAATATTAGGTAAAAAATATGATTGGTCATTATAAATAAGATTCCGGCAACATTAGTTCTGCACATTTATAGAAGATTTTTCTTTCAGATTGAAAAACAAAGAAAAACTTGGAAGGAGCCATTTTTCGAGAAAAAACATATCTATTCAAAAATATCCTGCTTCGTTCACACATAAGATGACTCCTAATTCGTACATTGATTCTGAATCGAACGATTTTATTTCATGAATTTTGTTTTGTTTTTAATCAACGAAATCGAGATTTATCACCAGAATTTCAATTATTCTGTTCAAAATTTGGAGAAAAAAAAGTGGTGCATACTTCCATGACTGATTCCGTCACCAATAAAAAAAAAATAGAATACTTGTCTTCTTTGCTTACTTAGATAGAAAAGATACATTTACAAAATGTTCTATACATATTGCAAAAGAAATATTTGATGAGTCTATTTCGCTTTGGGTAGAACTTGAGCTCTTGTCACATAGACTGTAATGATTTTCACAATATGGCTGATAGTCCTGATTTTTTAATTTTTTTTTCGTGCAAAGAAAAACATTTTAGAATTCCTTTAAAGTGAGACATTGTAGATTCTAAATTTTTATTCATTTTCTGAAGTTACTATATAATGCAGTATGAAATATTGATGATTACTGCTTATCATCATCAGAGATCCGAGGAACAGCTAAAAAAGAAAGTATCTGACCATCATTCCATCTCACCGGCAGAGTACTAAGAGAGGCGATTTTTTTTCACGAATTTATCAAGCATCTATGAGAAACAAGTGTACTTGTAAATGACTGAACTTCAAAAGATACGGTTGTTAACATGACCCAGAGTTACGATCGTTTATTTTCCTATTGCATACAAAAATACACAAAGACGTAAGGCGATACATGTGCTCGTCTTGTATATATTTATACGGAGTTTGTAGACATTAACCTATTTACTTCATATTTATCCATTTATGATTCTATTGTTCTGTATATGGCCAAAAAGGTATATGATCACAGTACTGATCTATATGAAGCACCAAAATAAAATTGAATACAATGTAACACATGGTGCGTAATTTCTATCGAACACATGGAAATAACTTATTTTCTGTCAAAAACGATTTTTTTTTCGTAGAAATATTATCTTCTTGTACTCAACAATAAGATTAATGAAAAAAAAACTATTCAATAAGAAAAATTCTTGAGAAGTCTTACCCTAAAGTCCTGTGAAATTTTTTATTTTGATACTTGACAAATGATACATTACTCGATGTAGTTTTTCACACTGGTTTAAAATGTGTCTTTATTTTTCTCTAAAAATGTCTCATTGACAAAGAAATCGTGACAAATTTTCTAAAAACAAGGATTTTTAGAAAATCTGTATTTTAGTTCAGAACCTTTTGCTCATCCTTGTGCTAAGCCCCCCCCCCCCTCTCAAAAATCGATCTCCTCTCCGGAACATCGAGATAGCATGAAACTTTGGGCATATGTTGGAGGTGTAAAAGTACGTCTGTGGTAAAATTTTCAGCCTCCTATCCTGATGTATAAAGTAGATACGAACCAAAGAAGGGTCGAAAAATAGCTAATCGCATCACCAAAAATTCTCTATGGGTGTTCATTCAATTTGGTTCATTGTTTTTTCTTATGAAAGAGCATGTCAGGATGCAGTGCCTATGAGGGCCCTTTTTTCTAAATTCTTATCTTTAATAAGAAAAAAAGGGTTCACAAATTCAATCATTCAAAAAACCCTAAAAAAAATGATGCTTATATTATAAAGTCGCTTTTCGATATAATAATAAGAAAGCTTTATCAAAAAAAGTGCCCTCATAGGTACTGCATCCTGACATGATCTTTCAAACAAAAACAAATATTTGACTTTATATCGGATTATAATTGACTTTTGGTGGTGATGCGTCATTTGACCACCATTTTGAGAAAAACGCTAAAGAAGTTTTAGAAATGGAGTTTTCATTCAAATGCAGGAAATAATGGTATATTGATAATATTTATGTGGAATGTTTGAAAGCACGCAATAGGTGACGTAAGCTAGCACTACAGGTCGTACTGTATGATATAAGAATGTTTGTTCCATGCTTATAGAAGTAAAAAAAGTAGCCTTCCCAAAAATAACAAAAATCGCAAAAATCTCTCCCAAAACTGGGCAGTGAGATGGAAATCTCTTACGAAAGTCTGTAAAAATTTGATCTTTTTTTAAAAATTTATATATATTCTGAAAGAGGAAACTTCGCTGCATCTTCCTATGATAAAAACTNGGCTGTAATGGTAAGGGATGGGTGTGGGTTCTTGTAGTGTGCCGGGGCGAGGGGGTGGGGGGGGGGGGGGGGGGGGGGGGGGGGGGGGGGGGGGGGGGGGGGGGGGGGGGGGGGATAATTGAGTGTATATCCCAAATATAGAAGAATATTCTTTGAAAATTTCCTCGATATTAGTTTAGTGAGAAAAAAGTGGTGGCTAACTTTACTGAAGACATCATTTTGTTAAATGAATGAACAAACATTTTTCAATAAAATGGTGTATTAATAATTAGTTTACTCCAAATCATTTGTCAAGAAATGATTATTTCGATAGTGTGCCGCGTCAATTTTTCGATTTCTGTGGAAAACAGACTTGCCAAATGAGCTCAGATATTCCTAAATGATACTTCTGAAACTCATTGATTGTTATATTACTTTTTCGAGAATAATGTAACTAATCACTAGAAAATTGCTCTGTTCTATCTATTTTGGAACACATTTCTCGACCATCGTTTTCCTTAATATTCCAGAAATAGAATAATGAAGTAGTTTAGTGAGATGTTGTTAATATACGGTCTGTGGCATGTCTATGGTTGTGTCTATCATGTCTATGAGGAAGGGCTTCTAATTTTTACTTCCATACTTCAACGCTCATTTTCGATCGAGTTTCACAAAAATTGGTAACATGGTGCATGCGGTTAAGGATCCTATAGTAGTAAACAACGTTAATTTTTTTCATCCAAATTTTATTTTCGCGCCTTTCAAACGTCAGCTTATAAATCTTAAACTGGAAGCCTCACAAAAATGTTGAACTTATATTTGACAAGAATACAAAATTGTGATTCTAGCTGAATTTTTTCAAATCTCTGCAAGCTTTTTAATGAAGGCTAACAAATGAATGAACATTTTGTCTGATTACTTATCGATCATTCTTTATTATTGTGGTGAGCAAAGTAAAAACCGTATTGGTAAATCTTTAAATAAATTAAAATTGAAAAGATATAAACAGAATACTATTCGGAAATAAAACTTTGTTAAATTGAATAGTCTTATACACAATTGAAGAAAATATCTGTGATAATCAACAACTGATTAAAGATTCCATTTTGTTAATTTACATTTTATCAGACCAATTTATACCTAAAAAATCCTAATATTCTTTAATTTCTAAACTATTTGTTGTTCTAAATACATTGACTTCTACTAATCATAAATATCTCATGCAATGACATTAAACTGATGGTATCCGGAAAATTTCTCTCTTACAGATTCATCATTAGCAGTGTGTAGATTTAAAGAATTTCGTAAAAATACTCGCCTCTTGAGACATATAATTGAAAATTGAAATAGCTTTGTATGTATAAAAGATCAAGTCTTAACACTTCTTTTATTGCTATAATAAAGATTAACAAAAAACAAAAAACAAAAAACAAAACGATCGCCAGCGATCAAATAATATTCAATGTAATACACCCACACCCACATATATATATAGTACCAATATAATAGACTAATCTTTAGTTTTTTATTGCTATTGTTGAATTAACAACAGTAATATTGGATGTATATTGTGACAGAAGAGTAGTTGATAGATTATTTTTTAGCTTTTGATCGTATGATATACAATAACAAAATGAACGTAATTCGTATTTATCTTGAATACATGCTGATGTTTGACCATAAAGATTAACACGAAGAATGTCACTATATACTTGTATTAGTTTTGTTTGTTCATGATGAAGAAGGCGACTTTCAAATATTCCACCGGATGGTGATACTTCAAAAAGAACTGTATATGAATGAGTAAAATTTGCTGTTTTATTATTGACTTTCTTAAGTATTGGTAATTTTTCGAATTCAGCTCGAATAATTGTTTTAAGTTCAAGTGGAAGACATAAATGTTTATGTGATTTTAGTTTTACATTATTTATATGATCAATACTAGCTAATGTTAATTCTTTGATCACAGGTAATGTTGTATCAAGTGAAGTACTACGTGAGCATGGACAATATTTTTCTGAAATAGAACAGAAAATACTTTCACAAAAGAAAATCATTAGAATAATTATTTACCAGGTATACCAGCTGACGAACAATTTCGTTCAGGTATAGGATGAAAAAGTGATATGCCCGATGTTGTTGGACGCCAATTGACTAACAGAGGATCAAATATAGATGGTTGTTCAACCATCTTTAGAATGTTTGCTAATGTTTCGTAAACATCCCACCAAGATGTCAACACTAAATATAATGATATAGTTTAAATTTATAGTAGCGATGTATAGGGTAAGTTTTTCTCCTATCTGATACCTTCACTGAGACAAATTTTCTAACTCGTACCCTATCCTATCTTCCACATCTCTATGATGTTCCTATAAAAAGTCATTCAAAAAATAGTGGAGCATGATATATTTCTAAACTATAAATTTCCCACGCTGATAACGATTTGATGTTCTCTAGATTTAAACTGAACCTAGCAAGATTAGTTTTTGTATCAATTATAGCTAATATGTCTGGTGTTAGTCATATGACAGATAAAAAATTTATAAGTTAATGGACAGCTGTAAAACAACAACTGGAACTGATGCAAAATATATGACGGATGTTTGTCTTTATCTTTGCTACATTAGCATTCTTCGTCAAAAGTGACAAGCACGAATAAAAAGATAAATGATTATTTTGACATATACAGAATGTTTCAAAAGTCAGCCTTGAGATACAACTGCAATAACTCTTCACAGATTTATATGAGTTTCTCATCATTTCATACATGTGTCGAAAAATAGGTAGAAAACCAATGCATAAAACTTGTTCCAACATCAGTGTGATCTCATCATTGATTCTCTAATGATATATATTAATAAAGTATTTTGCACTGAAATTTCTATACAAACTTTTATTGATATAGAAATAAGAATCAATAAATATCCAATGTAATGCATTCACGGAACTTTCGAGCTAGTATTCTAGGTACTTTAATTTCGTGACCTGGAGTCATTTTAATAAGCAACATAGATCTTTATTATAATATACTATTTGTTAATTTCTAGTGTTTGTGATTAAAGCACCATTTTCTTGTAAATTCAATATCTCGACCAAGGAAGCTTCTTCTTGGTTGAAACTTTAAGGATATTCTATGAATCATTAGGCCTATCTATGAGCGATATTGCAGATCGAAATTCTTCTATTTGAATTTTTGATTAATATGCGAAAGCTGGATCGAAAAGATCGTGAAACGATTATAATTTGGCTCCAGAGATCCATGGACACGAACCCTTTCAGGATTTTTCTAGTCTTATCAAGAGCTTCTTGTAAACGATCTTTTTGAGTGCATTATAATTGCTGAGGAACAGTGGATCTAGGATTTGCCATGGAAGAGACATTCTCTATAACGAAGAGAAGTGACCATAAGCAAAAATCCCTTTTTTCTTTCAGATTCATCTGAAGTAGTATAAACTAGTTTTTCGTTCGCTATTGTTTGAAAAATAGTTTTTAAAGAGCAGGACACATCTAATCTTCAGAGGAGCACCGTTCCTTATACTGGATAAAACACTGACAGTCACTCCTTTCTTTCTTCTTCTGAAGTTTACCATTGTCACTAAATGAACTTATTATTAGATAATCTAAACTTTATGATAAATGAAACATTCTCTTTGGCAATATATATTTTCCATACTTTGTTCATTATGTTTTAAATTTTTCATAACTTGTGGAAACTGTTGTTTAAATGATTCTGGTACTAACATAGAAAAAAAAGGTAATTTAGCTTCAAAACTTCCAATACGTGTAAGTCTTAAACGATGTTGTCTATGACCATGATCACCACAAAATATCAGTATTGTATTATTTAATAATTTTTTTTGAAATAAATTTTCAAACAAAGTTTTTAAATCATAATCAATCCAAAAAAGTCTTTCTAAATAATCATGACTCATTTCATTCATTTTCATAATACCAAATGTTGGATAATCTGATGTTTTATGATGAATATTAATAAAGCTTTCAAGCCAATCTAATGATAAATAATGTAATAATTTATTTAAATAACATGGTTTAGGATTTGAATTTCCTGAAAATTTATTATAGGACATTGTTTCATATAATGATAACCAATATTGACGTAAATAATAATCAGTTGGTGCTTGACGAAAACCATTTTTTAAATTATAGAAAGCACTTTCACGCCATTCTTCACTAAAGTAAGTTGTATAATTTAATCGAGAAAAGTTTTTTACTATAAATGGATGATCATCAAAGGGTCCCGGATAATGAATAATTTTTTTAACTTGATAACGTTTTTTAGTTTTTGGATCAAGTTTTGTTTCCATTCGAATAAATTCATATCGACTATCATTTGTATTTGGTATCTGATAATGTATTGCTGATTGACCAAATAACATAGGAACAATATTTTCAAATGTACCATCACCAACAATAGTATGACGTTCAAATGTATATAAACCAAGAGATTTTAAATATGATAATGTTCGTGGTAATGCTCGATGTGCTTGAAGATTACTAACAGCATCAAGTATAATCATNCATATGAGCCAAGATGTATTTCATCAAGATAACAAAGACCTTCTTCCGTCATTTCTCCTTTTTTTTATACATTCGGATTATTTCAGTGCATTTTCTTGTCTTCTGTTCTTTCTTTCTCTCTATATATCTTACTAGAATATATTGTAGAATGCTCCGTCTTGTCCAAGCAAAGTATATATATACCCATCATTTTTATGAGTAGTTCAGTTTTGAATTCGGCATCTTTTGTGACACGTCTTATACTGCAGGATCGTCAATAAACAGTAATTAAGATACACACAACAGCATGGCGTGGGTGTGGCTAGGGTGTAGGGTGTGGGTTGGATATGAATGAAGAAAAGACTTCCATCCACAACCACCCCACACCCACACCTCATACCCACACCTGCACCGACACCCACACCCACACCCACACCCCGATTATGTGGTGCCAAAGTTGGATTTCATACACACATTTACACTACATTGATCGATGCTCCTTTGGTTGTTTGAAGTTGAAGAATCATCATTTATTGGTGAAGATGTTGTATTTTCAAACTTATCATATCAAGATCAAACGTATCAACTTCATCAAATTTGCATTGGATCATACTGCTCGGTCAATAGACATAGCGTACTTTATGAAGATGTGATTGTAGGAGATAATATACATGTGAAACCAATGTCTGCTATTACAGGGACTATTACATCATCTGGTGATCTAGCATTTATCAACGACCAATTGTTATCATCGAAGCACGCTATGTATCAATTTTCTTTTCTACAGTGTCTTCTCTTCATTCATAGAATAGTTTTGCTCTTAGCCTATAGTATCTATTCTTATTGTTCGATTTTATCACTGTCATCATATATCAGTCTTGCTTTGACTTGGTTCATTTGGATATTAATAAATTTTTCTATTGCCTTAGCCTTATTGAAATTTATTGTAGGACCTGTCACATCAGGATACTATTCAATCACTTCTTACTATTACTTGCACAAATTATGATTACGTCAATTGATTATAACATCGTTTCATCATGCGTTGGTCTTTCTACCGCCATATGATATCCTTTCATCTAGCCTTTTACGATGGTTAGGTGTACATGTCGAAGATAATGTCAAATTCAGTGAGTTTCAACAAAAATATTGTGTTTTCCATCAAATCTTCTTAACGCCGAACGTGATGTGACGATATTTGGTGAGGTTTATCTTGCTCCATTCGAAATGACGGAAGAAGGTCTTTGTTATCTTGATGAAATACATCTTGGCTCATATGCAAATCTTGGCAATTTGCGTACAATGATGCCAGATGCCAGACTTCGTTCCAATATAATTGTTGGAAGTCTTACGTTGATTACACGAAATACAACTGGAGGAGAATGTAATTGCGTATTACTCGGCATTCAAGCTCGTAAAATGCCTTTTATACTGCCTGATGATACATCTGTCGTAAATCATTCATCATTTTCAAACTCCATATTTTTCTATACTCTGTTGTTCACCTGTCTTAGCCTCTTCATAAACGAGTGGCTATTCATTACTTTATATTTTTCATTAACAGTTGCTGTTGCACTATTTATTCATGTTATTTTCTATTATATGACCTACCACTATTTGATCTCCTTTACAAAAAGATGCTCACACTTCGCATATTCAGAGGTTATGACTCATCAACAGCAGTTTTTCTGTGCGTGGATGGGCGAGTTTTCTGTCTTTATTGAACCATGTCTATTAGGAACACAATTTCTTGCCTTTCTTTTTCGCATGCTTGGTGTTCAAATTGAATCCGATGTTATTCTGTCTGATTTTGGTTGTATCACTGATCCTTATCTTGTAAATATTGGCGATCATGTTCGCCCCAATAAGGGTACTTTCATACAAGTAAGACATTGTTCTATTATATTTTGTTCATATTATGCTTTCCATTTTCTCTTTAGGCTCATGTATTCGAACAGCGTACCAATTACTGTAAACCATTCTAGTGTGCTGATGGCTAATACGTTAATACTTTCTGGTTTAACACGTCAAGGTCAAAATCGTATCTTACTATGAACACTTGTGATGAAGGATAATCAATTGCCACCTAGCACAAATTGATTTGGTGTACCTGCTAAACAATTGGTCTAAAGTTTTTCGTTAATCAAATATCTTAATAAACAGCATAATCTCGCATTTGAGTTATTTTTTAAAGGAAAGAGAATAACATGATCGTTGTGTCCGAATTATATAAGATTTAATTTCTGATTATGCTGTCTTCTAGTCTGATTTGCTTATATTTCAGACACTAGCAGTATTTCATTCTCTTCTTCTCATTTTAAGTAAAAGCTCAATTCATGAATATTTGACTAGTTCCTTGTGAACAGAAAAAGTAATTATTTTTGCCCTGGAACATGAGCTTGATGTTTGACGTTTTCTTTCCAATTCTATCTGTATTTATATCACTTCTTCGCTTTTTTTCGCATATGCAATTCAAAAATTTCAACAATATTAATAACGTGAAAATAATTACTTGCTACTCACATTCAAAGCCATATAAAACTGATATTATCTTCAGTCAACATCAATGATAAAAATTTAACTAATTTGGCCAATCCTTTAAGCGTAACTTCATACCGATGTATCAATTACTTAAAGACTTGCTTCTTTTATCTTTCATTATCAGTCTCAATTTATAGTATATTTGACTTGTCTAGTAATTCTGAACACATTCTGATAATCGCTCGTTCTCATTTGTCATGTGTAGACGTTTTCATCATGGAAGCAAATAAACATATGTAGAAAATTATTATTCTCCATTATTATTTTCCAATGCATTGAAAATGAATTATGTTTCTCTCATTGTTGATTTTCGTCTCTGCTACACAAGAGTACTGATGCTATTTCTTGTATTATCTCTTATTTTTTCATGGTATCAGATAAAAAGATTTGGTTAGTTGGTATTCGAAAAATGCTCAAGAGACTCAAACTCAGTGATGTTTATGACTATTGACTTGTGAGAATCAAAATTAATGAACTAACATGAGGGCATGGGTGTAGGTTTCGACGAAGCGAAAAGCAACTACTGCGCCCACACTCTACCCCTGATATGATTGCATTTTTGTTTTATGCATATTAGAGAATACGACTATGGTCAGTGTCAGATATGTAAAAGTCATCTCTTTAGTCTAATGAATTGCTGAATGTATTAAGACTTGAAACAGTTAAACCAGCAAAAACATTTATTCTTCTACGATAATAAGCATACGAGTTTGGAATAATCGAGCATCTGGTGAATACATTTTCTAATGTCCTAAGTGCTAAATATAATAACAATCTTTTTTGACAAACTGATACTCTCCTTTAAAAAGTACCACCTGATTTTCCAATCTGTGCTAAATTGAGTAAACGTTACTTCATGAAAGTCACACTAAACTCAACTATATATAGTTCGTTACATCCTCTCAAAACACTTTATGGGATTGTTTTATTATTAACAACAAATGTGTGTTAATTATTTAACTTTATGCGAAACTCAAAGAACTTCCAACGTTAGTAAAATACTCTAGTTTAGTCTTCTCTGAAAATATTGTTAAACTTCTTCGAAAGTTTCTTAGGTACGCTGTAAACGGAACAATAACAATTAGTTCAAGGTTATTTTAATTTTATATTGATTTCAACATTAAGAATGAGAACAAAACGATGGTATCCAAAACAAAATATTGTTTGCTCATATTTGATTAGGGTATATATTCAACAAGACGTTCATAAAATAGTGCATAAAAAAAATCATATATCGATCTATTCTTTTTTTAGGAATCGTTATTTTGAGTAAGAATTCTTTTTGCCTGAAAGTTTTAGGATATTTTGAAGGTCTCAAAAGCTATTTATAGGAAAATTTCACATCACAATTCATTTGATCGTTTTTTTTCCATAAATGCCGTACAAATAGTAAGAGTCCCATTTAAACGGCCATAACTCCAGAAGAACAGATCATGAGAAGGAATCCTTCTAGACCTTATCTGGTCTCAACAGATCAGAGTTAGAGTATTGATGTCTCATCTCAAACACTAGGTACCACTAGGGATGGTTCCCTCATGACAGCATATAGTTTCAATGATCTTTTCTAAAACTTAATTTTAAAAAGCTCACTTAGAGCACTCGATTTTTCGCAAATCGAAACAAAATTGAGTTTTTATCCTTGGAAAAGATATATCGAAGTCATCTCACTCGAAATACATAGAACTTTTCGCAAAACGGCTCGATTTCTACAGACCTATTTTAGAAGTTTGGAATTCGATTATCAAATGCTTCGAGAAATGAAATTTTTTTTTTGTTTTTCACTTTTCGAAAGACTATCTTTTCATTACTATTAGAACTGAATATCAACATTTTTATAATAATCATTGAACGTCTACTAACATTCAAGATAAGGATTACTTGTATAAATATATATCTACATTTTACTATCAACATTGGATATGCAGTTCACGTATCTTGGGCAGAAGTCTAAAAGATTTTAATAAAAAAACAAACATTCCTAGACTTATTTAACATTTTTCTCAAAACAAGTTGTTCAATCAGAAAAATTGAAACTTCTTTCCGGTTTAGGATATAACTAATATTTTTTTATTTCGGATATAAATGAGAGTAAATTTTTGTCCTAATAGATTTTTCTATTTGGCTGCTAGGTTGAGAAAAGCTAGATTAAGTGTCATGGAGTCATCTTTTCCTATGCTTCTTTTGTGATATTAGGTCTACCAAATTGCGCATAAGCAGTGAATGAAAGCGAAGTTTTAAATTCAATTCATAGAAAAATTGCACACAGATATTGAATTTGAATTGAAACCATCAAGATCTCTAAATCTGTTTTCATGACAGAGCTTTATCGATTATCTTCGAGCCCATAAATGACCTCTGAATAAGCTAAAAGTTCGATCTAGTGGGACTTATCGAACTAAACTTTTTAGCAAAACCATTTTTCACTAAAATCACTTACTTATGAATATTTCAGACTAATTGGGCTATTACGAGAGATCCT